CAGCTTCTTATTTCAGATATGCAGAATTTAAAACCAAGAGAAGTTAAGCAACTTTCAGAAGCTAAATTTGAATGAAGCTAAAAGAGACTCAGACCTTTTGGTCACCAGTCCTGCTTTCCTTTGTCTACCCCGAAATACTTATAATGGGGTGGTTGTTAAGTCCTCAATTTAAACTCTCATGAATGACTAATTCCTTCACTATGAAATGGGAACATTGCTGATACAATCTCTCTCAATTTCGCTACTAGCTTCTGACATACGTGTCCTTCTATATTTCATATAACAGCAGGTGAAGAGTATTTAAGCTTTAGGGTTGAAGGAGAATTTGTGAATAACCTTACCTAGAATTTTAGCTACAGATCAAATTTTGAATGCCAATTTTGCCTTCAGATACAGACTTTGGGAGTCCTTAACCTCTTGTCATACATTTTAACCCATTAAGGAAATGTTTAGTATTTTCCTTATATGCACTAAATTATATACTTTATGGAAAGCTGTTAATATGCCATTTTCTGTGTTAAAATTTTTTCATGTAGCATCTCATTTATTCCTTACAATGGCAATATAAGAAAGTAGATTTGTGATTCCTATCTTACTGATAAGACAACCAAGGTTTAGGAAGGGTCAAAGGCACTTAACTTGGCCAGTAAGTGAGATGGACCTCGGTTGTCTGGGTCCAAAGACTGGCCTCTTCTCAACTTAGTTATGCTACAACTTTGGGATATGTAGCTTCCAAGATATTATTTATATAGTCACCATTCAAAGGGGGATGTAGAGAAAGCCAAAGAATGGGTTTCTCACTCCCCCTTTCTTCACCCATGCCATTAATTTTGCAAAATAATCAGCTAGTACATTGGGCAACTAGTCTACACTGATTTAATTAGGAATAGCAAACTTCTACCATTTCACCTTTTTATCACTCAACCTTGTAGTTTGGGGTTACAATGAGGGATTGTAAGCCAAATTGAGCCTCTTTGCTATAGGTGCTCCCATTTCTATGTCCAGGACTGTTTCACTAAGAGGTTTAGGGAAAACAAACAAACAAACAAAAAAACAACAACAAAAAAAAAAAAAAAACAAGACAGTTGTTAAAGATCACACAATGACCTAGGGAACTGTAGGAACCATTGGTTATGACCAAATGTATAGGCAGGTGATAGACTAGTGCCACAGCAGAGAAGGAAGAGAGCCAGTAACCATAAAAGCTCTTCCTGAGAGTATTGTGATATGTGAGTTGAAGTCATCCTTCTCTTAAGCCCACATTCCTGAAAGGTTTAACAATTTTCTTGCTCCCCTTTACTACAGTACAACCTAGAAATAGTGGTCTGTGCTTCCTGTTGACTTCTTTTTTTTTTCCTTCCTATTTTTTCTTGAGCACACTTTGGTTCGGTTTTTGTTTGTTCCTGTGTTTTTCCAGTACTGGGACTTGAACCCTGGGGTGTTTTACCATTGAGTGACATCACCAGCACTTTGTTTTTTGTTTTTCTTTTTAACTTTGAGATGGGGTCTTAATTCACAGAGAGAGCATTGGGAACAATTCCCTGTTGCAGGATCAGGTTCATGTTCTTCAGTGGGGCCCCTTAGGGTCAGTGCTCGTAATGGCTATAGGTGTGCAATTTGAAAAAGGCTCGTAAGAGCAGCAGTGAAAGACAGTGGCAGGGGGTCCCAAAGGCAGGGCCTCTCAGTGGTCTTTACCATGGCACTGTCTTTACAATGGCCTTTAAGATATTCCCTCTTAGTGTCCATACTACAGGCTGGCCTTGAACTTGCAATCCTCCTGCCTCAGCCTCTGGAGTAACTGGGATGACAGATATGCACCACCATACCCAGCTCTAGTCAGGTTTTATCATTCCCAGCTCCTGTCAAGGTCATCAGTGGGTTTCACCCAGTTAACCCAAACATCAGTCACCAGTCCCCAGTTACTAACTTGAGCTGACTATAAATTGATCATTCCCTATTTAATGTACATTCTTTACTTGGCCTCTAGCACCCCATTCTGCTCTGACCTTACTGTCTGGTTACTCTTTCTTTTGTTCCTTTCCTGATTTATGCTCTATTCTTCAATTTATAACTCTTATTATGCCCTAGGAATTAATTCTCAAACCTTTTCTCCATTTGTACTAACTCTAGTTAATCTCAAGAAATCCACTCCAATACTGGCTGCTTCAAATATTGTTGGGAATTTCCTTTGAAATAGAAACTTTTATGCCCTAGACTCTATTTTTCTTTTTTGGACATCTAACAGGAATATTAAACTTAACATGTACAAAACCAAACTCCTGATGACCACTCCACCCACACTGTAATATGCATGAATGTCTCCTTTTTTAAAAAAAAAATGGCAACTCCCCTTTTCCAGTTGCTCGGGAAAAGAAAAGGAGAGAGGAAAAAAATGAAAGGAAGGAAAGAAAACAAGAAATACACCTGGCTGATCTCTAATTCCTCTCATTCTGTTGTAGACTATCATCCATCACTCAAGAAACATGGCCTTCAAGGTATAACTGGAGACTTTTTTCTTAAAACTTCTTCCATCCTGATGTAAACATTCATTTTCCGTTGCCGGCACCACTGTGCAATAATTTGTTGCCTCTTTCTGTCTCTCCTCTTCACCAGTTACTCAACATAATAATACAGACAAAGGCCAATAATTAAAAGTCAGATTGCATCATTCTGTTTAAAATCATCAATTGACTTCTCACATAAACTTCAAATAGAACTGTCATCATGGTCTTTAAGACTATTCACTCTCTGTGTCTTCATTACCTTTCTGATTTTATTCTTTGCTCTTCCTATTAGCTGCTTTACTCCAGCCACTGGGCCTCCATATTCTCCCTGAACAGTTTATGAATCCTTGCCTCAGGAACCTGGACTTGCAGATCCCCTTCTAGGAAATCCCTTCTTCCAGATATCCTTATGGCTTGCTTCCTCACAACCAGAACTCTGCTCAGACATCAGTTGATCAGTGAGGCCATCCCTTTATCCACTCAGGCAGCTGGTGTCCAAAGCCCACTGAACCTCATCTTCTGTTACTCATGCTTTGATATTCTTCTTTCTTTTTATCTGAAGGTCTCGGTGACTCTGACTTGCTTTTGACCAGCAGAATGTGGAAGGAGTAACACTTAACTACTTTGCAGCTTCCGTTTGGATTTCTCATCTCCCTTGCTTGGGTGGGAGGCACACACTATATAATAAATCTAATTACCAAAGTGCACTGTAAGGAAGCTCAGGGAAACCACATTGAGTCTGAGGAACAAAGAATAGTCATCTGGAGGCTGAGAGACACCTGGTCAGACTCCAGCTGTTCTCTGCTGAGGGCTCAGCAATGTGAGTGATGAAGCTCTTGTGAATATCTAGCCCATTTGGTCCTTCGGATGATTCCAGTTATGGTTCCTGAATGATATGCAGATGCATGAAAACCCCAGTTAGCAACTGTCCAGTTGGGCTCAGCCAAGCCATAGAATCATGAGAAATAATATGAAATACCATTCTAAGCCACTAGAATTTATGTTGTTTTACTGAGCAGCAATACATGTCTAAAATGGAAGTCAATTTAAGATGTAGCCGTCTCTTGCCCCATGTATATAGTAATGCCCCAAGTGTCCTTTCCGTGCTTTAATTTTCTACATAGCTCTCTTATCAGCATCTGGCTTAGTGTGCATTCAGATATTTGTTACTGACTCTCTTACCCGACTGGAATAAAAGCTCAGGGTTAGGGTTAGTATGCTGTCTTCTCGATAATCATTAAAGTACTATATCTCCAGTGGTGGGAACAGTGTCTGTCATAGGTCAGGCACTCAAAAAATGAATGTTGAATGAGTAAATACGTTTAATTTGTTTTTTTCCCCTAAGGTTTTTTTTTTCCCCAAACAAATCATGCCCATAGAAATAAGGAAATGAGACTATTTAAAATACTTTCATGATCATAGTCCTGCCTCTTACGTGGATAACATCTGGTGTGGCTGCCAATGCTTGTCTTCACCATTCCATTGAAGCAAACCTTCTCTAGGTCCTAACACACTGACTCTAGGGGAAAGGAAATTGAAGGAAATGAGTCAGGAAAATCCTTTAGGAGAAGCCCTAACTGTGACCTGAATGGATCTGGCTATTAGAACCCAGCTGGACTCTGGCAAGGAGTTTCTGTCAGAGACTTGCAAGGTGCCTGCCTCTCCTCCACTCATTTCTGGAAGGACTTGGAGGTTCCTCTTGACTCCACAAACACATGTGGAATATCTCCTCCTGATCAAGCTCTGCAAATATAGAGATGGAAGAATAGTTTATTCTCACTTTCAGTTCAGGAAAATGAAGAGAATAAAGACCATGCTAAAATTGAAAATAAACTTTATATAAATTGTTAAAGATTATTTAAAAGTTGTTAGTTGTTGGTTTTGAATATAGTTCAAACTATCTTTTCATTTAAATAGTAGTGAAGTTAGTTTTGTTTACTTTTTTCTGTGGGTACTTTTAGAGATTAGAAAAGTAGTCTTAGGTGTATCCTGCAGTGGAAGAGAGCTGATTAAAAGTCTCTTGGTCCACTCTTGATATGGACTTAAGAATAATGAATTCATAAAGTCATTATTGACTTGATAAAGATGCACACATGAAAACCTATCATTATAATGATGTCAATGGCATGCAAAATAACTACAATTCATGTTTGTGAATAACATTCATGCATTCCTATTCTTTAACTAATTAAGGAGTGACCTGGCTACAGTTAATGCCTACTGCCTCCCACTTCCTGTTCTCCAGAACAGGAAATATCAGAATGCAATAACTCATGCACAGCTGCCAAGAAATGCATTGCCACTCCCTACCCCTCACCCTTTCCCCATAGCTCTACACCCACGGAAGTTTTCCCACATCAATTACACCCTGAGTTAGAGGGCAGCTAGTAATCCAACAGGTGTTTTACCTCTTCCTAGGACTGAGAAGTTTTTATGAATAACAAAGTTTTGTATTTCTATCCCTCAGGTTCCTATGGGAATTAGTGAACCAAATCACCCATGAAATGGGAATGAATACAGTCTAAAGGTTTTCCTCCCCTCCATCACAGAATGGAAACAGGTGGTTGCTTGTCCACACTGGCCCCAACCCCAACCTGCTCTCTGGCTCTGTGTTAACAATGCTCCACAACTCCTCGGCTGCTTGGATGATGTGGATTAGTGCACCATGTCTGAAGGGATCTGCCTGTGAGTTGGGGGCAGCCATGGACTGGGCTCTGGAGTCTCAGAGGGAAATTTACAACATGTGAGTCAATGCCCAGATGAGCTCTTAACAAGCAGTTGCAAATGCAAGATAAATGGCAAGCTGGAGCCACATTCTGGTGACGTACACCACCTTGACCTCTCTACTGCTTACTCTGAAGTTATTTGTCCATGCTGGGGTACATCAAGGAGACCACCCATTGATTCATTTTACTTTCTTGAAATGCTTATGATCCTTCATTCATGGGGTGGAGTGGGGGAGAGGCTGTCCAGAGAAACAGTAGAGGGAATTTCTTTTTCCTAAAAGGGGAAGGTAATGAAGATTTTTATTAACTTTGCATGGCTCTTGCTTCCCCTGGAGTTGCCTTCCCCATGTGATGGAACAAGAAGGCTGGATGGATTCTCTCCTGGTGCTGCTACCATGCCAGCTGGAGCTTCCTGCTTGCTTTTAACCTTAATGGGTTAACTTCATAAAACGGCAGCTCTTTATTCCAGCTTGAGATTTCCCATCATACTTTAGGACCAGCGAACCGTCCCTTCTTTGATGGCACCTTTTGGCTCCACAATAGAAGCCAATTTGTTAGACTTCTTTACAGGTCAGGGGCTGCGGGAGGATGTGGAGGGCGCAGCAGTGGGCACTGGAAAATGAAGTTGTATTCGCTTGGCAAATTATACGTCTGCTGCACTTTATGGGCCCTGATTTTCCTTCCCTCTCCCTTCCCCTCACTCTCTCGATCCCCTTCCCATTCTCCTGCCTTTTTCTTTAAACTGAGGAAGCGTGTATATGAGATATCGTCACATATCCAGTTAATGTAGGTTAATAGATTGATTCCAGTGACACGGATCATAATGAACAGTAAATTGTTTTATCTCTTAAGTCTTATTTGGTCAGCCAGGAAAACATATGAGGTAATATGGCTTGGACTAAATGGACCGTATAATAGATCTCCTTCTAAAGAATAAGGACAGGGGTGACAGCGCCTCTTATGATTAATGAAAATAATAATGGTCCTGAAATTGAAATTTTTCTAATTTTTTTTTCCCCTTCTCCTCTCTTGACTGCCACCAAAAACTTCAGCCAAGGGATGATTTGTGTACAATAACTAGCTCTGATTTCTTCCTTGGCTAAGAATATACATTTAGGCAAGGGTGGGGGGGGGGCTTGAGAAATGAATAGGTTTATAGAATTCAAAATAGGCCACTTGGAGGGCCAGGGGAGACTTTGTACAATTTTTTTTTTCATAGAGTTCTAATGCAAAGATCTCATACACAGTGTGAAAATCTGGGTAAAAGTCTTTGGCATCAGATATAATAGAGGTCTATCTAGATTATTTACCTAGATTGAAACATTCTCTGTCTTTAGATTTATTTTAAAACCATGTCTTCCCCCCTTTCCATTTACATGTTTAATTTGAGCAGAGTTTTATTTTGTTCCATATCTCCACATCAGGGCCTATGTCGTCTCACTGCTTATCAGAAAAAGCAAATGCATGTCTCAATTTTTCACAGTCATACTTAGAAAAGAATGGAGGAAATATGTTGATTGTTTATCAGTACAAAGGCATTGCCACATTTGAGGGGGGAAATGACAGCAAGTTACCATGTATGTTCTATACCGGATGCTTGCTCTACCTACACATGATGGCAGACCATGGGATCATGATGCAGTTAGAGAAGGATCCTATTCCTTGAGATATGATGGGAGAAAGGGATCAGGCCTTCAGCGTTCACCTGAGTAAAGACCATTACCTTCAAGCCGTTTCTTCCACACCATGGTTCACATATCATTTGGACAGCTGCCTGAGAAATGTGTTCCAGCAGCTAGGTGGAAGTGGTTCACATAGCTGAGGCTACCCATCTTTCCCTCAGATTTTGGGCAAATTCTGTACCAATTGATTTCCCAAGAATTTCACTTGTAACAGTCTTAAGTAGCTGCTTCTAGAAATTCTTCATGGTGATATAATCTATTTTCTCCAAGTTTTGCCAAATCAAAAGGGACAATTTTGGAATCAGACAGCACAAATAGCTAACCTTTGATTGCAAATCTTTCGGTAATCATTTTAGAAAAACATTTTCTTTGGTCAAATATTTGTCATATATGTAGAATCCAATTAGGAGAGTACATCAATTCACTACAGATGATTATTCAGTGTTATGCTGAAATCAAACTTCCTTAAAGAATTCTCCAAATTTGTTCATTGGTATTTTTACTTTTCAAGCAGTCATCATAGCAAGATATAAAACAAAAGATTCCACTTATAAATAAAAATGTTAACAAGTATTAAGTCTGTTTGGTACTTAAAAGGAAAACACGTTTTTACTAAACTAGTAATTTTTAAAAAACAAGTAACAATATATGACATGATTCTATTTATTTATTTATTTATTTATTTATTTATTTATTTTTATATATGACAAAGGAATGCATTACATTTTTATTACACATATAGAACACAGTTTTTTTTATATCTCTGGTTGTATACAAAGTATATTCACACCAATTTGTGTCTTCATACCTGGACTTTGGATAATAATGATCATCACATTCAACCAACATTTCTAACCCCATGCCCCATCCCCTCCCCTCCAACTCCTCTGGCCTATCATGCTAAGTGAATCAATCCCCAAAAAACAATGCCAAATGTTTTCTTTGATACAAGGAGGCTGATTCATAGTGGGATAGGGAGAGGGAGCATGGGAGGAATAGACGAACTCAAATTCTCTTTATTTATTTTTATGAGTTTATATACAATTAAAGAGTATATATAATTTATACATAGTTACATATAAGTACGTATACTTACTCATGCTATTTGTTGTGTATAAATAATCATATACTTAACTTTTGTTAACCTTTGTTTTGCATGTTGAAACAAGGAAGAATTATAAATTTTTTGATAATTTTTCTTATTATAATAAGCAATCATTAATTTCATAATAAAATAGAAAAACATCTACATCTTATCTTTTGTTCCTCTAGAAAAGTGAGCAATACATTATAAAGAATCTGAGAACAGTGTTTGAAAACTCCTCATTCTTTTAGAACCAATTTGTAAATTCCCCATCCAGAGTTTTTCTTGATATTCAAAGATAGTCATATAGTAAGAAGTATTTCCTTGAAATAATAAGAACACATTGTTACAAAATAAATTTGATCTGAACTTATGGAATGAAAAAAATCATCAAGCATCCTATTGTGACATTTTTATATCTGTTGTTGAATGTTATCATGCCATTTTTATAAGTATACTTGAGATTTTTATTCTTAATCCTTTTCTTTACAAAGTGTTTTTATTAATTTTATTATTTTGTGGACAAAATCTATACTATCTGAATTTGGAAATACTCAAGTTGCACCTAGAATACTAAATATACTTAATAGAAAGAACTCTTGAACCTAAAAGAAACACTTTGAATGTTTTGAAATCAGAATATATTCCTATTGGCCTGAATAGTTAGTGTCCAGTCTTCCCCCAACTTCAAGGATAGCTGCCCCACTTGAGAAATCAAGTTGCAGCCTGTAAACTGGGAAGAAGTTTTGGTCTGAAATCTTCAAACTGAAATTAAATTTCGGAAATATTTTTAATTCTAAGTAGAGATGGTAGAATTGTTATAATCCACGATATTTAATGACATTGGACAACTTTGGAACCATCTCACGCCAGGAATTATTGTATGACATGGTAGAAAATGTTCCTAAGCACCAAAACGCCAAGTAGGTGAGCAGTGGACTGTCCATCTTAGTTCATGCTTCCAGGTATCATTAATAGAAGGTCCAAAGAAACCCATATAAACACTTATTCAACTGCAATGTCTCTTTCTTTCATTTTTGCGGTCATCCAATCAAACCATTAATACTGATTTTTCATTAAGATTATATTTGTCAACATAAGTAAATCTTTCTTAGATTTTCAATCATTTATTTTATGAATAAAAAAACAGATGAATGAATTTTGAGTCAGATAAGAAAAAGTATGAATAGACACTCTTGACTTCTTAAATTTGAATGAAAACCTCAGGGATTCAACTTTTGTTGCATCCCTGCTTTCAAATTTGAAAATATTTTGTAACCATTTTCTTTTATTATTGGCATTCCTCATTTACTAGTCAGATGTTTCTTTTTAATCACCCAAAGTATATAGAGAAAATAGAAATGAGATTTTGTTTATAATGGCATTCATGTGTAAATATCTAGAGGTTTTGATTAGCTAAACTTTGTTACACACACACACACACATACACACACACATTGATAAATGATGTTTAATTAAAAAGAGAATAAAAGAAACAAACAAAAACATGACTATACTGTAATTCCAATTTTGTTAAAAAAAATACACAGGAAATACGAAATAGAAAAGATAGTAAACAATCATTCCAGTTGTTAGGATTAAGATATCACTTAAAAAATTCATCTTTGCATAATACACAATTTTGACAGGGTTGTATTATTTTATAATTAAAAGTAATAATAACCAATTATTCCTATGTGCTAGGTACTCTTTTCAATACTTAAGAAAAATAATAGGTTTAATTCTCATAACCACTCTTTGAGATAAATATTACCTTACCTCATTTTAGAAACAAGGAAATAGAGTGTCACAGCTGTTAAGTAATTTGCTCAAGGTTATATAGATGGTGTGTGATAGAGCCAAGATTTGAACTCAGGCTCTCTGGCTCCAAAGCACAAGTTTTAGAGTTTTAGTACACTTTTAAAATAACAGATTGTCTAAGCAACAAATCTGTGATTATATAATTCTCTAAACTAAATATTATTACCCAGGAAGATAACATTAGCTCAGGCAAATCCAAGTATAAGACATCTAAATCTGAATAGAAATAAGCACATTAACATGCTTCTGATGTCAAGGTTCAGAGTTGTTTAATTTTATATAATTTAATTTTCTTTATTCTAATTGTAGACTTTGCTAAGAAGTTTATGATGAGCAATTTTGACCTTCTGTTTTCCCATGCAAAGAGGGCATACCATTAAAGACTGGGCTCTGGCAGCCGTGTCCACATGTTACCAAATAAAGTCGTTGA